TGAGAACGTGAATCTTAATTCGATTATGAATTGGGACAACATTGGACCCCCTTAAAATTGTAAAGTTTTATCTTAAGGGCTTAAAATCGCTAGGCATTTTTGTCTTTTTAAGAATAAAGTTGGCTCAAGTTTAGAGGTTCATGGATGATTAATTGCCGGTTTCTTGTAAAAAATGGGAAATAGAACAATAAGAATACGCTGAAAAATGTGGTTGATGTAGTTAAAGCTGCAACTAGAATAATTTTTAGTTGATGTGATGACGTCAGTACATAATTTAAGTGCAATATTTTAAATAATATTTGTAAAACAGTTATTGTGATTATTTTTAAAGAAACTAATTATTTGACTGTATTAATTATAGACAGTAATTTTTCTTAAATTGACTGCCGATAAAAATGCTTTACTTTAATGCAATCATTGATAGTCAGAAATTGCAACGTTCCAGAAACTTACATTTAAAAAATATCAGATAAAAGAGATGATATAAAGTTGAAGAAGTGCTGTTCATATTTAAAAAACAATAATGGGCTATTTAATTAGATCAAAATAATATAATAAAAAATATAGAATACAAAATTGAAACTCTTCAAATTGAAAAGTACCAACATTGTCATTTAACAACTATGTATACTGAAAATATTCCGTAAAGGAATACTTAATGTATTAATTAAAAGTACTTTTATAAATTCAATAAGACCTAAGCGCATTATTATTTTTAAATATGATTTTCTTTTTATAAAAGACAAATGGTACTATGTAACGAAACGACTGAATTTACAAATCCATTCCAATCCTATACGTTACTTAATTTTTCTACTTTGTTAATCTTAGGATTTTCTAAATGGTTACATAATATGCAGTTAAACTAAGTAAGTTATTCAGATATATTTTTATGTGTGCACTGCAAACGTACACATTTTGCTTATTATTTACATTATAGATTTTTTAGTGCGATCTACTTTATTATACTTCCGTACTTCAGAACCACGGCCGTAATGTATATTAAGTGCCTTTATTATAATCCATTTATCATTAAGTTTTGTCCTAAATACTTGCATTTATAAACATTATTTATTATTGTAAGTCATTCCGTGTAATCTGCTGTGATAAAATGTATTATAAACTGTAAACTAGGCATACAATTGATGCCATATTTTTTACTTTTACGGTATTAAGTGTACCTTATTTTTCAGTCTACTGGTATACTATTTGGTAGCTGTAACTTAAAAAATAAATCAGAAAATAATAAAATTTTTGCCATATTTCCCATAATAGTACACTCAATTTTTAATAATATAGTAAATGACTTTAGGGCTTAGAAAAAATATATTTTTATTCGGTTAATACTGTAAGTATTCTTTATGATTTTTACTGTGTCAGCAACATTAATAATTCATTTAGATAAGATTAATTAAGCTAATTGATATATATTTTAATTATTGCTTACCTTTTTCGATTCTGGGGAACGGGTAGCTAAACGACGTTCTAAATTATAAAATATTCCAATAAAATAAACGAGATGCAATGCTAAACGTCACATTTATTCGACAAACAAAATTAAGTTTATTTTAAAAAGTTCGAGACTTTTTATGAACACTTAGTAAAAACGAACGCGAACATTAAAATAAACGCCTAAAGGTCACATTATGAGTATTATCAATATTTAAAAACAGTCTTCTAAATGAACAACCATCGTAGAAAATAAATAGGATTCAAGGGATACAAGGGTAGGGAAAATGGACAAAGAACAACAATGTGCAATTGTCATCTAGCCCCGGTTTCTATCGACCAAAAGGACTTTATTGACTTTGAGGATAATTCCAGGGATTCGCCTGTTGTGACCAGATACTCGTTAAACCAAATGGATCGTACGCTGGATTTCTTCTCTGAAAATAATCAACGCATTTATTCAGATAGATCATCAAAAAAAATCATTAAATACACAATATCGAATGATTAAATCAAAGCAAATAAATAAAATATTACAAACCAAAAACTATATTTGTTAATTAAAGATATTAACATAAAAAAAGTTATTTATTTACTAACTTTACAAGATTTATATCTTATATAGTAAATAAGGGAAAAGTACTTACCTCTTCTTCTGAAGGTGAAAATCCAGGGGGTGTCCTAGTAGAAGTTCTGGATATCTCGACTGCCCCTAAAGGTTGCCAAACTGACGACGAGCCCCACAAATAACCACTCTGATGATTAACATTTTGCTGCTGTGACTGTATACTTCCACCAACTGGCATATATACTCCATCCCAAATATTGTCGCCGACGTTAGAACTTGTAGAAGTATTTGTCCATGGGTCCACGAAAAGTTTTGCGTCAGATTCTAAAAGTAAATTAAAAAACAGTTTGAAATTTTATTACTACTGTCTTATAAGCCACTAAATTTTATCCCGGACTAAGTGTAGTACAAGTTGAACAGAACTGCTTATCCTGTGGGGAGAACAATTTTGACAAGTATTTTTCATAATGCATTTTTTATTAACTCACCTGTATTATTTTGATGGGTTAATGAGGTGAATGTGTCCGAGTGCATGAGCCCAAGCAATGATGATGTGTTCCTCTGTTCATATCCAACGCTATTGCTGTTCCAATTTCCTGTTAATCCTGAATCTATATTATTATACTCTGTGGCTACGTTATGCAGATCACTAAAGAAACTGTTGTTATTATAACCACTGTAGCAATCTTGTTCCTCTTGTCGGGCATTAATGGTAGTCGTATTTCTATGAACACCATTAACCGTTGGAACCCTTTCCTTCTTTTTCGATCCTATAGGTCCAAGATTCGGCGTTACTGGTACAAAGGGCTCCACGTACATCGTTGGTTTGTTCCGAGGCTGAGATTGTTGCTGTTGCTGTGGTTGTTTTTGTTGTTGTTGTTGTTGTTGTTGTTGCTGTATGTGAGGACTGATGCTTTCCGTCCTTGCAACAACGTCACTGAACGTTGCTCTGTTCTCACCCCATACATTTGTAAAAGGTGTTGTGGGACTTGCTGTTGTTCTAGAAGAAATGTTTCCACTTTCACTCAGACTCCTGTGCTTTTCCGATGATAACTTCTTAGACGATTGGTGCTTTTCTTTACGCTCTTTCGAGGATACTTTGTGACCTTTCAACTTACTGTTGTTGTTATCTGAATAATATTGTTTAGTATTGTTGTCAGAATTGTAACTATTATTTCGAGGTGAATCGTTCATCGTCCGTTCTATTTTGTCTTTGGATCTGTAGATCATCTTCTGACGCTTCTTTTCGTTGGTTTTTGGTTCGATTTCGAGCTTTTGGGCTGTATTACATGCAGGAAGGGATGATGCTATTGTTGCTGAGCTCATACTTTTCTTGCTACTACCATAAGATTTGTTATTATTTCGTTCGAAATCTCTTTCCTGTTCTTTCTCGATTTCTTTTTCTATTTCCGGTTTTTCATGTTCATCGTTATTACTTGTATCAGTAGTTGTAGACGATGTTTCTTCTTCTGGTTGTTCTTGTTGTTGTCGTGCCCTTTCGGCCATTTCAGCCATTTGTCTTTGTTTCATATATTTCTTATTTAATGACCATTTTTGTTTGTGCTCTTTGTGGTATAGCATTTTCTTTGTTTTGATGTTAACTTCCGCAACTTCCGGTTCTGGTGTTTTAACTTTCTTTTCGTTCTTATGATGCTTGGAATCTTTCTGATGTGCTTCAAACCAAGCTTTTTTAGGATTTTCCTGTTCCTTTTCCTTGTCCTTCTCCGATTCTGTACAATTCTTTTTGCACTTTTTCTTTTTTGTAGCCAAAAGTGCATTATATCTATAAGACTCTTCTTTCTCAGCACTATGGTCTTCCTCAGCAAAATGAACGTCGCTCACTATCTTAGGACTTAGTTTATGTTGTAACTGACTGACCCTCAGGGGATCGATTTTATTGTAATGAATTTCGTCACGGGTTTGTGTGCCCACAAGTCGCAGATCGAGAGGCTGTAGAGATGCAGAATTACGAGAAACTATTACTCCTAACGATTGTTTTATAATTCGTTCCGATTCAAGAACCGGCGCCACTACCACGAAAAAGAGAGTCAAACAAGTTAAGCAAACTGCTGCATAATATAAATAGTTTTCCCAATAAGGACGGCTGAGGACTTTATGGCATAGAGACAAATAATACGGTGGTATAGTTGTTACAAGCGTATAATTTACAGGATAACTAAGACTAGTATCTAATATCAACATTCTCGTAACTTTCGCTAGAGAAAAATCAGATGTGAATGCAATATCAATCTTTTTCGTGCTGTTTGGGGGTAGTAATATGGGTTCGCAATTCAACACCTTAAAGCCATACCCTTCGCATGGATATCCGTTTATTGAAAACGAATTTATGTATATAATTATTTCTCCTGTGTTCCTTGCAGTAAATGTTCGTTTAACCGTTAGATTTGGAGGCGGATACTTTTTCGGTTTCTCTCTCTCGCAATCCTTTAGGTGCTTCTCAGTTATCTCGAAAGTTAACGGCTGACTAGATCCAGGTCTTCTGTTTCCAAATTTGAAATTTGGATACGCCGCTTTCCCATTCAAACGGATCACTTCCAATACAGTTAAATTATTTCGAATAAAAATAAGAGCCGTATTCAAACGTGTATCTATTGCCGTGTAACCAACTGTGAACGTAAAGTTTTGTCCAGGTTGTAGCAGTATTGGCAATGTTTCATTGAACACATTTATATTCAACATTTTCCGGAAATTTCTGCAGTATTTCTCGAGTTTTTCGTGGAAGAAGAACAATGGTTTTGAACGGGAATATTCGGGTGAGTAGTTAGGAATAAGGGCTGGTGGTAGGCCTTCGTATAGGATTTCGGGACTGGGATATTTGTGCTCCAAGACCAGTTGAATAATTAGATTGCGACTGGCCGGATTACGTATTGTTATATTTTGATAGGAAGTATTACCGACTTGTGTAAGGGGAAAATCGAAATTAGTCGCATTTTCAACGTTTTGAGCAAGGACAACACTCGGCCAACTCATCTTGACTCGAGACTGAAATACGTGACCCTTAACTTCGGAGGTGTGTAGAAGCATAGTCAGATTCTGCCACTTAGCCAGGCCGTTATAAGTCTGATTCATGTACCTACTATATAATACGTTGACCAAACTGAGATCAGTGTCGGCGGCAGCACTCGTTAAGTTTAGCGACTGTAGCCAAAGAACTAGGAAAAGAACAAAAACTTGTATGCTAACAATTACAATTTTCTATAAAACGTACATGCTTATTTCAGTTTAAAATTAACTGACCACACGTTTAAAAAGGAGTAAGTGAATTCAATTTTGTATTGTATATATATTAATTAATTTTCATCGTATTTGTTTATTTTTGAAAAAGATAGTGCAACTAATTGATAAATATTGTGAAAATTAGTACCCAAAGCGTTTAAAAATTACCAAGATGCAGGAACTTACTGTGTACGTCCTCTTGTAAAGTACTGTAGCATTCCTTCTTGCACGTTTGCATTGGATCTAAGTACAAATAGCCTACAATTTTCGTCGATCGTGCCATTATGTGACCTGAATGAACACTGCTGACCCTTGGGTCGGGAGGAATGCTCACGATTTCTTCAATTACCATTGGATCATTAAACGTAGAGTGGACTTTTAGTGGATGAGAACATATCTTTCCCTAAATGTTAATTGAAACTATAGCAACCGAGAAAAGATGCTATTTATTAATGGTATGTAACTTGTAAATACATTATGTATGAATTAATCTGTAAAATTTTGAATTCATAATTTTAAGATAAACAAAATTATGAACTTCTTCTTGGGGACTAAGCTGCTGTTTATTGTACCTATTCTAGCATCTGTTTTCATTTAATTGTACTAGTGTAATGTTTAGAATTTTACAATTGACCTACCGGAAAACACTGGTCAAAAATAAGGCGATCAGGCCCAATTTCCAGTCGTCCCTGTGCCACTTTGTACATCACTGGGATCGAAATTTCTTCATACTGTGTTACTATTTGTATATCACCCCAACTTCTGCCTTCAAAATTCAAAGTTTGCACCGTAAGTCTCATAACAGCAAATTCTTGAGGTCTTAAGTAAGTCTGTAAGAAAGGACAATAACACTACAAGGTTAAAAAAAATCAATAAAAAAAGCATGGGAAGGTATAACGAACGATAATTTAATGCAAGACTTTTAAATTACTTATTAACTTACACATTTCTTTTTGGACTGTAAAAGGTGTTGCAGCAATGAATACGAATAATTCCCTTTGCCACAAGCGAGTAACTCGATTTTGCCTGAGCCCAATGATGTAGCAACCCATTTTAGGTGGATATTAACAGGATTATTGTTAAGTAAGAGCATTTGAACATCTTTGGCTACGTTAAAGCCTACCAAGCCAAGATCCAACGACTTTTCTCCATTTTTATTAGGCAAAAACTAATAAGAAAGTTTGTTATAAATTTTATATTAAAAATTTCATAATTATTGTATGAAAAAAAAATAACACTTACTATGTCCAGTTTGCCATTGTAGCACATAATAGTCATTTCCACTTGAGACACATTTGTTTTGATTATAAGATAAGAATTCATTTTGAGATCATGTTGTTTTCTATTTATTAAATTTAGTTTAAACAGGCCGTGCTTTTCTTTAGGTTTGAGAATAATCGGTTTAAAATTTGTAATCTGGAAAATAGAACAAAATAAAAAAAAAATAACTTTCAAAGTTTACAAATCGGATGACTTACCGTAAAAACCTGTTGGGCGCTGGAATGCAATTTAACTTCAGTAACCGCTAATGGATGCAGAAACTCATTCTTTACAATGACATTTTTGGGCCGGTGTTCGGTTGCTTCATCGTCAATAAAAAAAGTTGCTTCTGTTTTATTAAATAATAAACCGCCCTGTAAAATCGTAACGTAATACGGAATTTCTGTAGGATGTTTACCATTTTTGTATTTTATAGTTATTTTTCCGGAGAAATCTTTTGCTTCAAATGCCTTTTTCCCTGAAAAACTTCATAGATATAGTTTCAGTAAAGATACATTTTATATATTTAAACATTGACTTCCTTAAAGATTTTTTTGGCACTGTTTGTACATACAGTCCACAACATGTCAAGGAATATACTTTTGCTTCATTTTTATCTGATATTATTCATTTATTTTTTTTTTTCTAAAAATACAAATTCAAAATAGTGATTTGTGAGATTTCAATCCAATCAAATTAGAAATACAAACAAAGCAAAAACAGAACAATTTTTTGTTTTTATCGATTCGCATAAAATAATAAAAATAGGGTAAACATTTCATATTAACGATGCAAAATCACAATTTTTTGTTTAAACTACAGTATCCTTATAATTGTATTCATATGCTTTTCTAAACACATATTCATGTTGTTTACAGAGATATTTTAAGTACCTGACTCTTGTAATTTTATCAATTAGATAATAATTAAAAACAAAGGAAACAATAACTATTGTTATCTTCCCATTTTTGAACCATAATACCACCAGTTAAAATTATTAAAATAAACAAGTTTCATTACAAAAAAAATTGATGATTTTTTTTAAACGTACAATCCAAAGTCAATGTTCCAATATCAGCCTTTGAATCTGCAGATATTTTCATAGCACCTAACTCCACTTTGACAGCTTTCGAGGTTGTTGTAATACTTTCAATTCGCACCAATTTCTTTAGTGGATTTGCCACCTTCACCTCCACCTTCTTGGGGGAATCCAACGAACCACCCACCCCAAAATCTAAGTATCCATGTGGATTATGCAAGCAATCGCAATTGGTCGTCACCTCAACTTCCAATGGAACAACCAAAACTTCGTTTGAGTTGCTTAACTTTATTCTGGAAGGAAAACGTAAATATGGGAAAACTGCTTTTTAATCTAAATCTCATACTTTCTCCTACAAGTTACTACAATTGGAACTGATTTATCCCCAGAAGATTATACCAGAAGTTGTATTTGTTTATAAAAAAATATTTTTAAATTTATTTTTATTAAAGTTTTAAATGTAAACTATTGAATTAATCTTATTAAAAAAAGTACCTACTATAAAAATTGGAGAAAAATGCAAAATTTACTGTGTTATTTAGTTACTTAATAATGTTAATTCAATTTATATTAACAATTCTTACCGAACATAAGCTGTATGATTTCGTTCAGTTTTAGCAAAGAATCGGACCCGAATAATAGCTTTTCTTTGAAGGGGTGGTATTTCCCACATATCTTTGGGGCCTTCCAATTCACCACTTGGTAATTCCAAGTGAAAATCGCCCCCACTACTGTATATTTCTATTACCTAAAAATTTATATACGAAATAATAAATATTTTATCATTACGAACAAATAATACTTGAATGGATTCCAAGTGTGGATTAAACATGTAGATCATAGGAGAAAATGTAGCATTTAATGGCAATTTTACGTTTGTTATTGGGCGCAGTCTGTATGGACTAGAAACACTTGATCCTTTTACCTAAAAAATAATATGTTATTATCTTCTGATAGAAATATATATATATACCTATTCCAAATGGAAATGTTCTTACTTGATACTTAAAATGTCCTTCTGTTGTATGGATAAACAAATTACTTTCCACAATACCCTCCTCTCGTCCCAAGAATACAACATTAAACGAAGTATTTCCAAGAGGTGGAATTTGCTAAAGGCACATTTTGGTAAAATTTCATAAAATAAATGTCGTTTCTTACCTTATCTTCAAAGAAAGAACTGTGAAAATGGACTGTACTACCTGATATAGAAGTCATATCAATACTTTTATTACTATGAATGTTAAATAACAACACCTTTTCTAAATGAGGTACACCTAGAGCCCTAAAACTGTAAACTTGAGCAACAATGAAAATAAATATTCTCAATGGACATACCTTTGCTTAAAATCTAAATATTCTGGCTCAAATTTTACATACTTTTTCATGTCACTTATTACGGAACTTCTGTAAGAAATTTTTAAAAACAAACCATAAATAAACTATACAACAAACTTACCGAAATTCTGGCGAAATATCCTAAAAGAAAAGAATTAAAATCTAGGAATATCACACATATTATTTCATGTCTTACCTGATGAATATTGGATAAATCATCAATAAAGTAACTTTCTCTAGAAGTAGACACAAACCCTGAAATAAATAATAAAATAAAGAGAATATCAAAAATCGGCATTTTTGTAAAGAAATTAGCTGAACAAACAGGATTTTAGATTATATTTACAGGTACTATTATCAAACTTACAACTTACCATGACTGTTATCGTGAGTTGTCAAATGTGTCTTTTCAATTACAGATATTAATACCAAAAGCGAAACTGTCCACCAAATAGAAATATAGCTCATTCTTTCATGCGTTTATTTTTGTTTAACAAACCTAGGAGCACAATTATTAATAACATTCGTGTGGGTACTTTAAAAATACAGCAGCTGTCATATGCTAGCTTCAGCAATTTATCCCGCGAAACATTTCAAACCAAAAATCACTAGGCTATTGACGTCACTTTATTTTTTGTTTATTATCTTTTTATCACAAGCAATATTTTTTATTCATAATTGTTCAAAATGAACCTCTGTTTACGTTTCATCCAGTATTAAAATTTTGGTTTTCATAAAAAAAATATAAACGATAATTTGCAAAGATCAATATATTATACGCAATTGATTACTACCAGGATTAACAAGATTAGCAATAATTTTTTTAAACAGATTTGCTATTTGTTGCCTTTTTATTTATTGTTATTTTAGGAATTAATACTGTTACAAATTCATCATTATAATTATAATGAAAATGTAGACCATCAGACTATAATTTATTAAGTGAATGAACAATAAATTTTTGTTTATTAACAATTACAGTTTTGTAAATCCCAAAAAAACGATGTACAACACAAGCAGTAAACAAATTCTCCTTAATCTTAAACAATTTTTCATTTATCTTATTACAGCTTTTATCTTTTATTAACATTTTAACTTATCTTAGTTCCATGGTAAAGAAAACTTAAGTGCCATAAATATTAATACAAATTAGTATTTATCATTTTTAAATTAAAGATATAAATAAATAATGAGTATTAAAGATTAAGTATAATGGAAACAACGCATTAAAAAATGTTAAATACGTCAATCATTGTGATTACTGTAGCAAAGGATGCGTTAAAAACATATTAAAAATGGTGAAGGCGACAGACATATTAATTTTTAAAGAGCCGGACTTCGAAAATCTGAAATTTCGTATCAGGAGAACATAAGCTTGACAGGGTCTTTTCGCGCCAATACTATGATTTCCTAAAATTTAGTGTTATTATTATTATTTTAGGTTGAAATATTAAAGGTG